GTACCTAGTCTATGTCTAGACTTCAAACTTCTTTCGGAAGATGCCTTTCCAGAAGAGATCTTCTGGAAAAGCTTATTTCGAAAGAGAGCGTCCACACAGCAAAAGCTCAATGAAAAAGTGATGTGCTTTTTCGAAAGATAGCGTCCACATTGATTGGATGCTATCTCGCATTTCAGTTGTGATTAGTCTGGACAGAGTGGCCACCAGGGCAGCTGAGTTATTCCCTGGAGGCCTCTTCTTTTGAAAGAACTCCCTCTTCCGCATCCAGACATGCTTTTTTCAGAAAAAGGCTTCTTTCTTGTAGGAAGAGGTTTACCACGGTTGGAAAAACCCCTCTGTTCTTTCGACTTTCTGTCGAAAGAACTCAATGGCAACTCAGCATTCTGTTGAAAGAACTCAGAACTCAGCATTCCGGAAAAAATGCTGCAGTGTAAATGCACCCCTAGATAAATATGGCCCTGTTCCACATTAAGGCTTTAGAAGCTGGATTTCTTTCCTGGTTGATCTGACTGCTCAGCTGAGCAGAGCAAAACCTTTTTTTTTCTGGCCACTGGTCATCTCACAGGCAAAATGAGCTTGCTCATATTGAGCATAAGTAGAAACTCTAACCTGGCAGAGGGCCTGTTCTCTCTGCAGGGCTCCTGGTGTAGACATACTGTGTCACCTTTATGGACCTCTTCTTTCTTGTGGATGCCCAAGTTTCCAGGTTTTGTTCTGTCCCTTAGCATCTTAAGTGGAAGTCGTCTCAATATCATGGTCCTAGGGTCCTCTGCAGAACTCTCCTCCACCCCTCCCTTCTAAATTCAGTGAAAACAATCTAAGCTGAAAACCTAAAACCATGTGTATTCAGATGTTTTTATTTCTATAACCAGGTTCATTCCAAACCAGTGTCTGCCATATCCCAGCTTGTAAGTACTTCTCTTCATAGCTGACTAAAGTTCAGCAGCATTTGTGCTGGGGAAGTTAACAATAGTCTCTAGATACCCTGTTGAGGCAGTCAGCTTCTGCTGTTGAAGCAGTCACTTGTGTCCATTGAGGCTTGAGGTGAGTAAAACTCATCTAGTTGGAGACTGACCTTATCCACTGGAGAAACATTATTTACAGGTAAGAAAAACTATTTGCATTGTGCTTTCGCCTGGCAAACATTGATCCTCCCTCACTTCTGATCTGGGGCCTTGGAGGGAGTTTGAAATTAAAAGGGACAGTTGTCCTATTTTAAAATTGAGACCCACATTATTAAAAGCTAAGAAACGTAACTAGTATAAGTTGCTTTTTGCTGATTTACAGTGTTTATGGCTTGATTCTGCACCACGGAGAGAAATGAGAGTTTTGCCTTCGCTTTGTAAAGTTCAGAGCATTTCTGTGTTAATCTCTGAGGCCACAGAACTATGTACACTCCAAGGCCTTGTCTGCACTAGAGAAATACTTTTGCAGATCCTCTAGTATTCATATACCTATTTTACAGGTCTGATTCTGGCTTAAAAAAGGCCTTGTCTATCCTACATGTTTATGTTCAAACTGTGATGTAATACATGAGATTATATAAGCCTACATTGATGCAGTGAGTACGGACTAATCGTGAAAGTTATGCAGTAGGTATTCTCTTTCTAGATGTGCAATCTTGTGAGAAGTCACCACCTATCTGTGCTTCACTTTTCCTACCTATAGGATGGAGCTACTAATGCTTATCTATCTCACAGGAGTATTGTAAGACTGAATTAATTACGGGATCTGTAAAGTACTTTGAGAAACTCAGATGCTAGATGCTCTGTAAGTGTATAATATTAATGTATTATAATCTTCCTAAATTGTTTCTCATGATCTTTATGGATTAGGATTGGATAATTTCAAAGGAAATCTTTTTTCACCCTTAATTGTTTTCTTTAGAGCCCAAAGTGAAAGCTGTTTCTACCAACTGCCATCTCCGTCACCATCTGGAAAATCACATTTTCTGAAGCTTTCCTCCTCTTTGTCAGCTGTAAATAAAGCTATAAAATGGGAAGATGTCCTTGCTTTAATTAACACCCCTGTAGTTCAAAAGCTGATCTTAGTAATGAGAGGCAATTATAGCCTTTATTGAGGGGTAGTCAGGTGGAACAAATCCAGCATCAATCTCTGGGAGGCATTTATTCCCCCAGGAAATTTGGAAGCTGCACTTTGTAAGAGTTGAAAACCAGGCCTGGTACAACAGGTGAATCAATTTGTTCTTTTCATAATCTTAAAAATAACTTGTTTCTGGTTGTTGTTGTTGGCGTTTTTTCCGAGACTTGTTTTTATATCATCATCCAGCTACCAGCAGTTGAGTTAAGAAAGGTTGTTAGTGGCTCTGTGAAGATGCTGTTTCTGGGGATTTTTTCTCTCTCTTTTTTTTAGACCAGTATTTCTTTCTACTTTGCAGGTTGCATGGGATATAGTATTGAGTTCTGGCATCAGTAATCAAGTACAGTATGATTTATTACCGTTACCTGCAGCAGGAGTTAGTTAGCTACTTACATTTCATACTGTGAACATTGCAGTTGGGTAGTTTATGGATCAAGAGACTGACTGAAAATATCAGAGTATGGCTGCAGAGTACTGTCTGGGGAAATGTAAAAAGAAATTCACTCCCACATGGTGGTCCAACAAACCATCTATGTTCCATTTGAAATCCTATTTGGAGGGCTTAAATGGAACATAGGCCAGTAAGTAAACCTTGTACAATATCTCTGTACAGGAGCGAATTTCATACTAAGAGATTCAGTCTGGATAAGTATAAAAAAGTTGAGATGCTTAATCCAGCCCTCCTGAGTTTGTCCTGAACTGGCAAAATGATAAACTAGATGGTTCACTAGGTCATGAACATCTAGGGTGTGTCTATTCAGCAAAGTTATTTCAGAATAACGGCTGTTATTCTGAAATAATTATATGAGTCTACATAGCAATTACACTATTTCAAAATTATTTTGAAATAATGGATGGCTTATTCTGACTTCTGTAAACCTCATTCTATGAAAAATAGTGCCTATTCCAAAATAGCTATTTTGAAATAAGGCGTGTGTAGACGCTCCACTTCTGCTATTTTGAAATAGCCCCTCACCAGGGCCATTCTAAGTTATTCCTCCTGGGGCTCTAAATCGAGATAGCACGTCTACATTCGGGAAGCCTGCCTCAAACTAATTTTGAGGCTTCCTTGCAGTGTAGACGTGCTATTTCAAAATAAGCTATTTTGGAATAACTATTGTGGAATAGCTTATTCCAGAATAACTGTGCAGTATAGACATACCCCTATGGAGCTGATGTTTTACACCTATGTATCTCCATTGATTCCAGAACTGTCATATTCCCCAACATTATGGAATGGAGAATAGGATACTTATATTCTGAGAAACCTCTTAGGACTGCAAAACTAGACATGAATTTCGGGAAGATCTTTTTATCTTATGGTATTTTTAGAGCCCTGCAAATCTGTGTATACCAACTTTATATTCATGAGTATCTGTGGACTATATTTGCAAATCACATATTGGATGAGGCTACAAATTTTGTATCTGTGTAGAGCTCTAGGTAGCTTCACACTCCCTCTCTTAGAAGGAAGTGTGGATTTGTGCAACAATGTGGAGTGAAAAAGTTAATGGATCTTTTTCAAATTATAAGAATAGGTTACATTGTTTTGTATAGTTTCTTATTCAGTGGAAACCATTTCTGGCATCCCTACTAATAGAATATGAAACGTATCAGATACCTGGTCCTAGATTAACTAATGTTGTAATTAATGGTCCTAAACATTTCTAGAAATCATAGAAGGAGCTGGGTAAATTGTACATTCTTCTGTAATTAAAAATAGCATTAGTAAGCGTCTTTCACCAGTTCGTAGCAGAAGCTTGTTAACATTCTCCCACAAAAGTGGAGAGCTCGGATGTTCTCTGGATACTGCGGAACCAGTCCTGCCAGAGAACACTTATCTTTGAGGTCATCAAAATTCCCTGACTTTGCAATGGACCAGATTCCAGTGCCAGTTTTGAGGGTTTTTTTTTTAAAGTCACGATGAGGATATTCTTTTCCAGTTGTGTCATTTAAGTGTTATGCTAGTGTCATTTTTTAAAATGTCCTGGTGAAGACATTTCATTCCAGTTTTGTAGTTTGAATGTGAAACTATGGACTCCTGCAAATGAACTCTCCATATTTTTGTTTGTCATGCATTGTCACCACCCTTCTTCCTTACCACGAACAAGGCTTGTATTTAAATTGGAACACACCTGAAACGGTTCTCCATTCCCTCATCCCTTCTTTTCCGCAAGCACACACACACGCTTCTGGACTGTGTCTAGATTTGGCATGATTTTCCGGAAATGCTTTTAACGGAAAAGTTTTCCGTTAAAAGCATTTTCGGAACAGAACGTCTAGCTTGGCACGGACGCTTTTCCGCAAAAAAGCCCCGATCGCCATTTTCGTGATTGGGGCTTTTTTGCAGAAAACAAATCTGAGCTGTCTACACTGGCCCTTTTGCACAAAAGTTTTGCGCAAAAGGGACTTTTGCCTAAACGGGAGCAGAATAGTATTTCTGCAAGAAGCACTGATTTCTTACAGTAGGAATTCAGTGCTTTTGCGGAAATTTAAGTGGCCAGTGTAGACAGCTGGCAAGTTTTTCCGGAAAAGCGGCTGATTTTCCGGAAAAACTGGCCAGTCTAGACACAGCCCTAGGGTTTTCATGAGCTACACGATCCCTCTTTTACACTAGGAGCAGTTCATCATGGAAGCGTTCTCATAAACGCCCACCCTGAACGCTTCCACGGCTACTGCATCAAAGAAAGCTGCATTAACGTGGGAACCACTTGTGTCTACCAAAGACTTTGAAAGAGGTCCCTTTGGCTTCTGCAGCAAGGAGAGAATTCTGCCTGGAGAAGACTTTGGGGTTGATAGGGTGTTTTAGCTATTTTTGTTAAAGATGTGTGCTGCTTGTATGGCGAGGAAGCGTTAAGAATTCCTCTCCTTGCTGACTCTCCTGTCTTTTCTTTCTCAAGGTTACGGACATGCCGCCCCGGGGACGGATGCCGGGAAAGCCTTTTGTATGTTCTATGCTGTCCTGGGGATCCCACTGACGCTGGTCATGTTCCAGAGCTTGGGCGAGCGCATGAACACCTTTGTCAAGTACCTCCTGAAACGGATCAAAAAGTGCTGTGGGATGAGGAGCACCGACGTCTCCATGGAAAACATGGTCACTGTGGGCTTCTTCTCCTGCATGGGAACCCTCTGCATTGGCGCGGCAGCCTTTTCTCAATATGAGGAGTGGAGCTTTTTCCATGCTTACTATTACTGCTTTATAACATTGACTACGATAGGGTTTGGTGACTATGTGGCCCTGCAGACCAAAGGGGCCCTCCAAAAGAAGCCAGTCTACGTGGCTTTTAGCTTTATGTACATTCTAGTGGGGTTGACAGTGATAGGGGCATTTCTAAATCTGGTTGTTCTCAGGTTCTTAACCATGAACAGTGAGGACGAGAGACGGGATGCCGAGGAGCGGGCGTCTCTGGCAGGGAACCGCAACAGCATGATTATCCACATCCAAGAGGATGCCCAGCATGTTCGGCCGCGGTACAAGGCCGAAGTCACAGACCTTCAGTCAGTTTGTTCCTGCATGTGTTACAGGTCCCATGAGTATACCAGCCGGATGGTGTCTCACCAAAATTCGTTCAGCTCCAAGCTGAACCCTCAGTACTTTCACTCCATCTCTTACAAGATAGAGGAAATCTCACCAAGCACATTAAAAAACAGCCTTTTCCCATCTCCTGTTAGCTCCATCTCACCTGGGTTGCACAGCTTTACAGATAACCACAGGCTGATGAAAAGGCGAAAGTCCATTTAATGTGATTTGTCTTCTTTTGCTTTACTTGTTTCCCCCAATTACCTTTTTTTGTTTCTTGAGTGAGACAGAGCGAGGCCAAAGGGAATAGAAAAAGCCAGTCCTCCTCTGAGACTCTGCTCTTGAGCATGAAGCATGGATTATTACTGTTCCAGCAAAGTATGCCTTACATTACCCCCTCGGTGGATTTCAGAGGATTCGAGGTGACGTGAAGTGGGTACCAAATCCAAAGTTGCACACAAAGCTGGGAGCCTTCATGTGCCGCTGGCACTCCTGACCTAATAAACTATTTTCCTCTCAAGCAGGTCGTTGTGTGCGTGTGTGAGTGTGTGTTGAGTGTGTGTGTGGGTGTGTGTATGTGCAATTCCACAACTAGTGCCATGTGACAAAAATGCATCAGGTATTAATTTTTTCCCCTTAAAGCAATTGTGTTCCAGCCTGCTTTTAACTTTTAGACTGCTTCCAAAAGAATAGGGGATGGGGGGGAGCCAATTTTTTTGTTTGTTTTTGCCAATTTAAGCATGTGTCATAAGCAGTCAATATACCAGGTGTATCATGATAAAATTTTGAATGCTAGATTTTAGATTGTATTAACATTTTAAAAAAAGAGAGGCAGGAAAAGATGGGTCATTTTAGCTTGCCAGTTCAAAATTAAAAATAAAATAAAATAAAAATAAAGCATGCACTTTGTAAAACTGGTATGCATTATAAAAACACAAGAAAAACTAGCAATGGAATTAATAATCAAAAGCAAATAATATAATTGATTTAACTACATTTACTTTCATCATTTGCGACTGTTCCAACAATTTGTCGTGCAAGTAGAATTTTTTTAAAAAGAAACTGGGAAAATTGTTGGAAGAATAGTTTGTTTTTTCTTACTTTGCTCTTATTTATAAAATTTATTACTACGATGATGGGTATTATTTTATTTAAATTTTTGTGCAGCAATTACCTGCATGAATAGGAATTATATTTTTTGGAATGCTTGGATGAGGATGGGTATAAATAGGTGGATGTATATTTTTTTCTTATATAATAGTGACAGGGCATTCCTTGTTTTAAATAAATAAAAAAATGATGATTGTCTCAAAATGCTTTTGATTTGTAAATAGTGGAAAGCCTTTGTTGGTCTCAGGAAGATTTCAAGGAACAGAATCTCAGTTTTTGGCCTACTGGAAACTTGCAGTCGTAGATGTGGTCTTGCCTTTTTGGCTAGTCTGAAACGCATAAGTATGCACCTCTCTGTAGCAAGCACAGTTGCACTCCGGTATTTTGAAGTGTTATACTGGGAGCGGATTGCATTAGCCAGATGGAGTGAAGGCAGATGATATCACTAAGGCCTAGTCTACACGAGGACCTTTGACCAAAATTACCCCCTCCCCCCCCGACTGAATTTGTAAATGATGCATCCACGCTACCAAGCCCATTATTCCGGAATAAGGGACCACGGAATTTGAACTCTGTAGTCCTGCCTTTCTTGAGGAATAATGCTATTCCCAAACTTGTAAGTCCGAAATAACATTAGAGTGGATGCTCCAGTGCTGCTAATTTGAACTAATTGGCCTCCGGGAGGCCTCCTGCAGCTCCCCAGACTGCTTGCGGGGGCTCTGAGCCCAAGGTAGCACGTTCACACTAATGGAGCCTGCCTCAGACCACATTCGATTCTTCCTTGTAGTGAGGACACACAATTTTGAATTTTTAAAATCGGATGCCCACAACTCGAACTTAGTAAATTTGAAATAATCTTCTCATGTAGACATGGCCTCAGTGAAATTGTTCCTTTGAAATCATCCATCACTTAACTAATGATCTGAACAAAACTGACTTTACAGAACCAAATTCTAGGTCCTGGTCCGACTTTCATTGGTGATAGTGGAAGTTTGTATAGATTAATATATAATCAAGATACGGCTCACAGGGAACTTTTTCTTTGTGTTCAATGGAGGCAGGACTAGTACCCATATCAGGATATAGTGGTGCGTATCAATTAACAATCCTACCTTTTAAAATGCTTCAGAGTTAATTCAATGTAGAAAAAGAATTATTTATCTGGCACAAATCATCTCTCTTGCTGATTACACTAGTATATTCTTTCCATGTAAAAGCAATAACTTCCCCTATGTAGTTCTAATGTAGCAGAATAATATGTTTTCCCAAATTCATGCAAACCTCCATTTCAGATCTGACCTCAACAGCTGTGCATGCCAATGGTTTATTTGTCAAGGGTATTAATAGCAGAAGATAGCAATGACCTCTGCTTTCAACTCTCTTCTCCTTGGCTTTTATCATTCAGTAAAGTCAAAGCCTGTAATTTCAGTGTGTTATGACACACAAGTATCCACAGCTTTATATGACTTCCTCTGGGAATTTCTGATAAATCATGCTGGCATTGTGCACTAAATCCTCCCATAACATGAATGAAATACTAAAATAGCGTTCTGAGTGACCATGGCACTGAAATGAACATTTTAGAATAAATTATGGGAAATATGTTTTTATTTAGGGTGAATGGGTATTGTGTATACTTAATTAATAAGCCTGCTAGTGACATGTTCTAAGTACCCAATAGACTCGAAGAACTATATGATGGTAGAGGCTTTGAAACCAGTAGCCATTTGGAAAGCAGTCTTTGCATTCTGTGATCCATCTCTAGGATAACCAACCTGACATCTGTTTCAAGATGTATCAGTCTTCTGAGACTCATTATTACATCTGTTTTTGTTTGTGAAGCTATTCTAAGAGCCTTCCAAAAGTGAAACTGATTGTGGTCCTCTTTTGCCATGAAAGAATAATTTGCATGTATACAATGAGCATATCTGGTATATATATTAGGAATCCAAGAAAATCAACAAAAGTTTGTTTGACCAAGCCGTAAAAGTTCAAACTCTGCTTGTATTTGAGGAGGGGAATTTGGCCTGGTGAACTTTTTTCAAAAACATCAAAAAAGTTTTACAAATGTTGTTCTTTAAGAACAATTTTGTGGATTTTTTTATTAAGGGGGGGAAATCTCTTTTTTCACCAAATGGAACTAAATTGTCAAAATTGTTTTGAATTTTAGAAATTCAAAGTTGTAATGTGTTATAACGGATAAGTTACACATTTTCCCATCTGAAATTCAGATTAGAAATAAAGTGCACATTTTTAACAGTAAGGGGAATTAACCATTAGAACAACTTACATGGAAGTGGTAGGTTCTTCATCATCTGAGGTTTTTTTTTTTTTTTTAATATCAAGACCATCTCTGTCTTTTTAAAAGATATGCTATAGCTGAACCAGAAGTTATAGCTTAGGATTCAGGAATTATTGTGTCTAATTCCTATGGCCTGTGTTATGAAAGAGGACTAGATAATTATAACTCCTTTTTAACTTTAAATCTCTGAATGTAAAGAGAGAGAGTGTGCATTGTGAAACACTATTTAGACAGAAGGTGTTTATGTGCCTAAGGATATATTTTTCTGCCTGAAAGATCTTCAGTTCTGTCCAAAAATCTTTCTGGTGTTCTTATCTTAAATACAATCTTCATGGCTCTTTGTTTACAGTTTGAAGTCAGTCCCTTATACAGAATCTTTATAAGACCCCTTTTGTATGAGCATTTTTAGAATAGTTACCTGAATTTTTTTATCTATGAGTTCATGCCCCTCTTGAGGTGGAGGAAAATGTAGGCTTGTGTTTTGTGATAGATGCTCTGATACTCAGTGACAAGAGGTGCATTGGGTAGAGAAAGCAGGGGACAGCTGAAGGATGCAGTCCCAGAATCAAGCAGTAAATGTGAAACCTTGAGTAATGCACCCATGCCTCTTCCTGTGAGACAAAAGGGAGAAATAGCTGGGGCATAAAATGTCCAGGTGATTTCCTGGTCACTGCTGGTAGCTGGCTCAACATAGGGTGTGTCTAGACTACAGGGTTTTGTCAACAAAAGTGGGCTTTTGTCGACAAAACTATACCCGAGAATACACTATCGCTGTGTTCTGTTGACAGTAAGTCAACAAAATGAGGCTGTTTTGTCGACAGCAGTAAACCTCATTCTATAAGGAATACTGCTTTTTTTGATAGTTGAAAAAAGGCGCTATTGCATGCAAACTGTGCTTTTTCGAAAGAGAGCGTCTAGACTGTCAACAGTACTGGTTGTAGTCTAGATGCTCTTTTTTGACGGAGGCTTTGTCGACAGTAACTGTCGACAAAGCCTCTGTCAAAAAAGGCTTGCAGTCTAGACGTACCCGTAGAGTAGTCCACATACTGCTTTAAGCCTGCCTAGGAACAGGCCAGTGTATATTGGGGTAGAATACAGGGAAGTATGAAGATAGATTAAAGCCATCTTGGCATTATCCCTTCCTGGACTGTGTCTAATAGTCTTCAAATTGCAGCTCAAAATCTGGGTCTTTTTGTGAACATATTTCAACTCATGGGCTATGTTTGCATACTATTTTTGCATGGCTATTTTTAACCCTCCATTCTTAGTTATTTATGGAGAAGGAAAGGATGTAATTGATGACCCAAAGAAGGTTGAGGTGTTTAATGCCTATTCAGCTTTAGTCTTTGCTAAAAGGTTAATGACAGCTGGATACTCAACACAATTAAAATTGACGACAAGGAGAAAGGAATGTAAGCCAACATACAGAAAAACAGGTTACAGAATATTTAGATAAGTTGGATGCATTCAATCCAGCAAGGCCCAAAGGAAATCATTTTAGAGTACTTAAGGAACTAGCTGAAGCAACATTAGAACCATTAGCAATTATCTTTGAGAACTCATGAAGGACAGTAAGGTCCCAGAAAACTGGAGAAGGGCAAACATAGCACTTGTCTTTTGAAAGGGGAACAAGAAAGACCTGGAGTATTATAGACATATCAGCCTGACTTTGATACCTGGAAAAGTACTAGAACAAATCATTCAATAGTCAGCTTGTAAGCACTTGGAGGATAGTAAGACTATAAGAAATGGTCAGTATGGATTTGTCAAGAACAAATCTGGCCAAACCAAACTAATTTTCTGCTGTAAACACTTGAAAAACAACAAATAGTCTTGCAGCACTTTAGAGACCAACAAAAAATGTAGATGCAAGACTATTTGTTATTTAGCGGTTTTCAAATATCTAAAAGGGTGTCACAAGGAGGAAGGAGAAAATTTGTTCCTCTTGGTTTCTGAGGACAGAACAAGGAGTAATGGGCTTAAAGTGCAGCAGGGGAGGTTTAGATTGGACATTAGGAAAAAATTCCTAACTGTCAGGGTGGTCAAATATTGGAATAAATTGCCAAGGGAGGTGGTGGAATCTCCCTCTCTGGAGATATTTAAGAACAGGTTAGATAGACATCTGTCAGGGATGGTGTAGACAGAGCTTGGTCCTGCCTTGAGGGCGGGGGGCTGGACTCGATGACCTCTTGAGGTCCCTTCCAGTCCTATTATTCTATGATTTTATGATTCTATGATTTTTTAATTTTTTTTTGGTTACAGACTAACATTGCTACCCCTCTCATATTGGCCTGGTGGATGGGTGTGGAGGGGGAGCAGTAGAAGAGAGATATCTTGATTTTAGAAAGGCTTTTGATACACGCCACATGGCATACTCATAATCAAACTAAGGAAATGTGGGTTAGATAAAATTACTATGAGATAGTTTTTGCAAATGGGCGAAAGACCATACTCAAAGAATAATTTTCAGTGGTTTGTAATGGGCTTAATCTGCAGCAAGGGAGATTTAGGTTAGATATTAGGAAAACCTTTCTAACTACAGAATAGACTTCCCGAGAAGGTTGTGGAATCCCCATTATTTGTTTACTTGATCTTACCTCAGCACAGGAGGCTGGATTTGATGTCTTATTGAAGTCCCTTCCAACCCTAGATTTCTAGGTTTCTATGCTACATGGTTGATCGCCCAAATCACACGACACTGTTTCTGTTCCCTGATTGGTTAACTGAAAATTTTGTAAAGAGGATGGGGAAGAATCAAAGTGATTTTATGATGGATGCCCAAACACTTCCCACATAAATCTTCACATGAGCATTCTCACACAGAAAAACTCACTTGTACTCACATCAACAAACAGCATTGACAATAAAACCATAACAATGACATCTAATTAAATACCCTTTCGAATTCTTTCTTTGGACATATTTGTCCAGTGTTGTGTGTGGAAGCCATATTCCCTTGGCAAATTTAGGCCTGGATTGAACCAGGGCAGTGGTTTTCAAACCTTCTTTCCCTTGACCCAGTTGAAGGAAATTGTTGATGTCTGTGACCCAAAATAATTTAACTGGAGTGTGGGCTTGGGATTCGGGATGAGGAGGAGAGATTTGGGCTGTAAGAGGAAGCTCTGGCTTTGGGGGCATGGGCAGGGCTGTGGCAGGAGGGGCTTCCCTTGAGAGGCTCCCCGTCAGTGGGGCAGTGGTGGTGCTAAGGCAGCTTCTTGCCTCCTAGCACCACAGATCTTGTTGCACCCAGAAGCAGCCGGCAGCAGGTTCCCAGATAACGGGAGTGTGGAGCTAGTGCTCATGACAGGGGCAGTGCACGGAGCCCTGTGCGCTCTTCCCCTCTAGGTGCCAGGCTTGTTGTTAGCCACTTCTAGAGTGCAGCACAATTTGCAGTGCCAGGGTAGGCAGGAACGCTGCCTTAGCACCCCCACTGCTCACCTGACCCCCCTGCAGCAGCGAGACCCAGTGCCTGACATTCCATGACCCACTGCTGGGTCACAACCTCTAGTTTGAAAACCACTGAACTAGGGGAAGCATTATGTAGAAAACAATCATGCCGAAATAAACCAAATCCTGCTTGTCTGACTTCCATGAGAATTTCCATTGACTTTGGGTGTGGGTGGGGAGAGGAATTAATGATAACATTCAGCCTGTAAAGGGTGAGACACATTTCTGATATGTCTTTTCCATCCCTTGCTTTTTTCTCTCACTCTATTTTCATTGTACAGAATCTGTTGTTTCTCCCTAGATTTTTTTTTAATTCCAAAAGAAACAAAACCACTAGCTTTATCCTCCTACCCTTGAAATTGCTGCATGGAAAACTTTGTTGAGATACAAGCATGCAGTCATGGAGTTAATTACAAGAAGACTTCGTAATACTCAAAATAACTAAACAGTGTCTTTACAGCACAAAGGGTATGTCTACACTACCCCGCTAGTTCGAACTAGCGGGGTAATGTAGGCATACCGCACTTGCAAATGAAGCCCGGGAAATTCAAATCCCGGGCTTCATTTGCATAAGCCAGCCGGCACCATTTTTAAATGCCGTCTCGTTCGAACCCCGTGCCGCGTGTAGCCGTGTGGCACGGGGTTCGAACGAGCCGGCATTTAAAAATGGCGCCGGCCGGCTTATGCAACTGAAGCCCGAGAAATTCAAATCCCGGGCTTCATTTGCATAAGCCAGCCGGCACCATTTTTAAATGCCGTCTCGTTCGAACCCCGTGCCGCGTGTAGCCGTGTGGCACGGGGTTCGAACGAGCCGGCATTTAAAAATGGCGCCGGCCGGCTTATGCAACTGAAGCCCGAGAAATTCAAATCCCGGGCTTCATTTGCATAAGCCAGCCGGCACCATTTTTAAATGCCGTCTCGTTCGAACCCCGTGCCGCGTGTAGCCGTGTGGCACGGGGTTCGAACGAGCCGGCATTTAAAAATGGCGCCGGCCGGCTTATGCAACTGAAGCCCGAGAAATTCAAATCCCGGGCTTCATTTGCATAAGCCAGCCGGCACCATTTTTAAATGCCGTCTCGTTCGAACCCCGTGCCGCGTGTAGCCGTGTGGCACGGGGTTCGAACGAGCCGGCATTTAAAAATGGCGCCGGCCGGCTTATGCAACTGAAGCCCGAGAAATTCAAATCCCGGGCTTCATTTGCATAAGCCAGCCGGCACCATTTTTAAATGCCGTCTCGTTCGAACCCCGTGCCGCGTGTAGCCGTGTGGCACGGGGTTCGAACGAGCCGGCATTTAAAAATGGCGCCGGCCGGCTTATGCAACTGAAGCCCGAGAAATTCAAATCCCGGGCTTCATTTGCATAAGCCAGCCGGCACCATTTTTAAATGCCGTCTCGTTCGAACCCCGTGCCGCGTGTAGCCGTGTGGCACGGGGTTCGAACGAGCCGGCATTTAAAAATGGCGCCGGCCGGCTTATGCAACTGAAGCCCGAGAAATTCAAATCCCGGGCTTCATTTGCATAAGCCAGCCGGCACCATTTTTAAATGCCGTCTCGTTCGAACCCCGTGCCGCGTGTAGCCGTGTGGCACGGGGTTCGAACGAGCCGGCATTTAAAAATGGCGCCGGCCGGCTTATGCAACTGAAGCCCGAGAAATTCAAATCCCGGGCTTCATTTGCATAAGCCAGCCGGCACCATTTTTAAATGCCGTCTCGTTCGAACCCCGTGCCGCGTGTAGCCGTGTGGCACGGGGTTCGAACGAGCCGGCATTTAAAAATGGCGCCGGCCGGCTTATGCAACTGAAGCCCGAGAAATTCAAATCCCGGGCTTCATTTGCATAAGCCAGCCGGCACCATTTTTAAATGCCGTCTCGTTCGAACCCCGTGCCGCGTGTAGCCGTGTGGCACGGGGTTCGAACGAGCCGGCATTTAAAAATGGCGCCGGCCGGCTTATGCAACTGAAGCCCGAGAAATTCAAATCCCGGGCTTCATTTGCATAAGCCAGCCGGCACCATTTTTAAATGCCGTCTCGTTCGAACCCCGTGCCGCGTGTAGCCGTGTGGCACGGGGTTCGAACGAGCCGGCATTTAAAAATGGCGCCGGCCGGCTTATGCAACTGAAGCCCGAGAAATTCAAATCCCGGGCTTCATTTGCATAAGCCAGCCGGCACCATTTTTAAATGCCGTCTCGTTCGAACCCCGTGCCGCGTGTAGCCGTGTGGCACGGGGTTCGAACGAGCCGGCATTTAAAAATGGCGCCGGCCGGCTTATGCAACTGAAGCCCGAGAAATTCAAATCCCGGGCTTCATTTGCATAAGCCAGCCGGCACCATTTTTAAATGCCGTCTCGTTCGAACCCCGTGCCGCGTGTAGCCGTGTGGCACGGGGTTCGAACGAGCCGGCATTTAAAAATGGCGCCGGCCGGCTTATGCAACTGAAGCCCGAGAAATTCAAATCCCGGGCTTCATTTGCATAAGCCAGCCGGCACCATTTTTAAATGCCGTCTCGTTCGAACCCCGTGCCGCGTGTAGCCGTGTGGCACGGGGTTCGAACGAGCCGGCATTTAAAAATGGCGCCGGCCGGCTTATGCAACTGAAGCCCGAGAAATTCAAATCCCGGGCTTCATTTGCATAAGCCAGCCGGCACCATTTTTAAATGCCGTCTCGTTCGAACCCCGTGCCGCGTGTAGCCGTGTGGCACGGGGTTCGAACGAGCCGGCATTTAAAAATGGCGCCGGCCGGCTTATGCAACTGAAGCCCGAGAAATTCAAATCCCGGGCTTCATTTGCATAAGCCAGCCGGCACCATTTTTAAATGCCGTCTCGTTCGAACCCCGTGCCGCGTGTAGCCGTGTGGCACGGGGTTCGAACGAGCCGGCATTTAAAAATGGCGCCGGCCGGCTTATGCAACTGAAGCCCGAGAAATTCAAATCCCGGGCTTCATTTGCATAAGCCAGCCGGCACCATTTTTAAATGCCGTCTCGTTCGAACCCCGTGCCGCGTGTAGCCGTGTGGCACGGGGTTCGAACGAGCCGGCATTTAAAAATGGCGCCGGCCGGCTTATGCAACTGAAGCCCGAGAAATTCAAATCCCGGGCTTCATTTGCATAAGCCAGCCGGCACCATTTTTAAATGCCGTCTCGTTCGAACCCCGTGCCGCGTGTAGCCGTGTGGCACGGGGTTCGAACGAGCCGGCATTTAAAAATGGCGCCGGCCGGCTTATGCAACTGAAGCCCGAGAAATTCAAATCCCGGGCTTCATTTGCATAAGCCAGCCGGCACCATTTTTAAATGCCGTCTCGTTCGAACCCCGTGCCGCGTGTAGCCGTGTGGCACGGGGTTCGAACGAGCCGGCATTTAAAAATGGCGCCGGCCGGCTTATGCAACTGAAGCCCGAGAAATTCAAATCCCGGGCTTCA